CACGGTGTGCGGCCGGTCGGCGCGTGCGTGCGCGGGGCCGTGTGTTCGGCGTGCTTGTGTGGGTGTGCGCCACCGTGTGTGTTCGGCGCGCGCGTGTGTCGTGATTGCGCAACGCTGCTGCCAAGGCACTACGGATTGACTAGGCCCGCGCCGTCGTAACACGACGTACTCAAGAGCAAAGGTCCGCGGCGACGCCACCGTGTACAAAATATGGCGCGCGACCGTCAGCGGCCCCATACGCAGGCTGCTTGCGCGCAGCTGACGTGCCCCGTTGACCTCGATTACGCGCGCGGCGCTCGGCTCAGGCTCGCTCTCGAGTGTTGTTGTAGGTACATGACCGCGACGGACGGCTGGTGTTTGTCCCCAGTACATCGGCGGCGGCGGCAGCCACCCATCGTATCAGAAAAAAAAAGTCCGACCAAAAATGAAAGTTTATGTGAACATTTCAAAATTTAAAATCACGAAGAATAATTTGCGAAAAGTTTAGACAGCAAAAACAATAATAGCGAATCCTTTTTTCGAAATAATATTTATTTTTTTCTTAAGATCGAACTTCAGACTTTCAAACTCTAACCTAAATGAAAAAAAAATAATAAAAATAAAACACACGCCTACAAGGTTAAAGACAATATTCATTGTGTATTCTAGTGTGTCCCTATATTTTAGTAATCAATAAAAAAGGGGGAAGTTGGTAACCGCTCTGCTGTACAGTTGGTGTCGAGTGTTTAATACCTCGTCACTAAGAAGTAAGCCACTTTAATGTATGTGTTAAATACTTACATTTAAATTCAATTATAAATTACTGCATACAAAAAATGATTCTAAGTAAAGACGGTTTGTGAAATTACATTAGTACCTACATTACTAAGTAAGTGCCTACTAAATTGGCGTTAGCAGATATTGAAAATTAAGGGTGGGGAGGGGGCTTGAAAATTAATTATAATTGTATTTTTTTTTTTTTGGTCTAATAATTTCCGACTTTTAGGTGTAGTATTTAAAAGTGTTTGTACAACTTCAAAGACTTCTCAACTTTTCTAGCAGAAAAAATGCTGTAGTAATAAACTTCGAAGGAAGTTTTTGGAAACAAATCTGGTGTTATTGATATTTTGGGAGGTCGAAATTGAAAATTCTCAATATTTTTTTAAATTATTAAGAAAAACAAAAAATAAATAAATGACAATTTGTTAAAATTCTTTGATAATCTTGGTTTGGCCGTCTTCGCTTGGATTTATTTGATTAATATCGTGGTCATACTTTTTTTGTAGTATTGCTTCCCCTATACAGCTCAGGCGTGGATACAAGGGTGGCATGGGAGCAATACCCCCCCAACATTTAAAAAAAAAGAGGCTTGCGAAAAAAATAATATGATTTATTATAGAATAAATCCATTCTATAATAATCAATGAAAATACTATATTATTTCACAATAAATTATTCTTAGGCTCTAGTAATATTTAGCTCAAATGTAGAAAAAGTAATGTAATTAAATATTTTATAAGCGATAAAATGAGATGTAAGATTAAATAACCTAAATATTAAAAAAAAAATGTTGCTTAATTATTTTTTAGTCTATTTAAAGGTAACCTAATCAGTAATCGTCATTATCCTGATGTCGAAAAATATTATCATAATAAACCCTGATAATCTCTATTAATAATATTTGATGAACCTCCTCGTAAAACTGTTCTGGATCCGCGCCTGGTACAGCTCCTCGTCGCTTAGTTCTAATAACAAAATCGGTTGTAAGCATTTAAAAAAGTGAGAAACGTAATTAAAACTTTGGAAACTACATTCCATTTTGTCAATACCACGATCAAGTATTACATTAAATATTTCAACTTCACATTTTTTCCAGGTGATTCTAACCTTTGGTCTTCACAGAGTTTATAAAAATTTTTTTTTTTGTCATGTCCTTGGTTTTTAAATGTTGGTATTATGTATCATTTTTTCAAAACATTTGTAGCTTCTATAAAAATTTCGAAAAATTGCCCCTGTAGGTAATTTTCAATTCGACTGTTAAATGTTAATGTTTGCAGTAGTACGACGTAAAAATCAGAATAGATTAAACAAACAATTAATTATAAAAACTGCGAAGCGTACATGATAGTGGCTGCTTATAAAATAAAATAGCTTTTTAGAATAGCTGTGTTGCAATTACTGCATACAAGCTATGATAATTTATTTTTGTAACTACAACCAGAAGTTTGAAAAACCAGTGACGTATATAATTAGATAATAATATACAAAATGATAAACGCCCTTAGGCACATTTTTTTTCGTTATTTAATATTCATATCAAATAATTTTTCTGCATAAATATAATTTAAATTAAAAAAAATGTTCAGTATTTTTTTATGGTCCTGTGGCCCTCCAACTTGGACTTACCTTTGGGGCCTCGGCGGAACCAGCCTAAATACGCTATTACGCCCTATTAGTTGAACTGATTCTTGCCAAAACCATTGCATTTCAAAATGTCACATTTTTATGTGTATAAATTAGTATAATAATATAGGTAGGCACTTTGAAAGTTTCAAGTAGGTACCTCCCTACGAAAATATTTTTAAATCACAACAAAATAAGTAAATTTGTTATTCTTCGATTAAATAGGTAGGTATATAATATACCCCCTAATTAAAACTTTAAATGCCCATGGTTGAGAATGGGTAATTTTTCATTTTAGAGTGGCTCACACATGGATTTCATTTTTAGTCACGAAAATCGTATAAATTAGGTACCTATATTTATTGGAGGATGTCGGGTATTTTTGCGGAGCCAATCAGTCGTGTTGCAGTAACTGTTCTTTTTGAGTGTTAGGCATCAGCGATAGGTACCTAATAGATTTCGTGATTTTATCTCAGGTTAGGTTAGGTAGACCTTGAAATATGTATTTTTTTTTAAACATAATCGAGAGAGTTAAAATCAATTGAAAACCTTTTCGGGAAGAAACTTATTTTATATTAAAAAATGTAACCACATCTTACATGTTAAATTGGCTGTTGAATTTAATATTCTAATGTTGACTGGTAATTATATGGAAGTAGGTATTGATTTTTTTTAAATACATCCCTAACAGAGTTTTCAGTTCTGATTTAAAGAACTATCAAAATATACTAAAGTAATATGAGTTTTTGTTTTTCTCTGTATTTTATGTATGTATATTATCGTAATATTTACCTATTAAACATATTATTTTGATTTGGGTAGGTATTTGAATTGTTGTCAATCATTATATATTATAGCCATGAGACATGAGCCTATGAATATTTTGTCTCATTAAACATACATAAGTACAATGTAATTGGAATTTGATTTACGTGAATAAAGATTATTATTAAAAGTAAAGTCATCGGTAATGCTACTGCCAAGTGCCAAGAGCCGTGCTCCCCCTTTTTCGGACTCTATATCAAAACAGTTTTTTAAAAACTGATGGCTTTATCTTTATGTATTTTATTTTGATAAACGAAGTTAGTAGTTACTATATTCTAGCAGGCAGAGTTCCAACGATCAATAACACACACTATAGCATTTTAGCGCCTGACCTTTGCATTGTACACTTCTTATTTAGTGGCTTAGCGCTCTCCCTCGAGTAAATAAATATTATTTTTCAGTTCTTCTGCGCCTATTCCTTCTTAATAATTTTAACGCCTGGACATTGTTGTACAATGTGAGACTTGAGTTATGTTTATCAATAGTTGTATTTATACATACGTGGATGTGGTTGGTATATGCGGATATTTAACTGCCAATAGGTACAGCCACTAACCGTTTAACCACATCATACTAGTAATGTGATACATACCTACCTAATATGTGCCTAGGTACTTACTGCTTTCAAGTTTCGATGTGCAATCGTATAGTACCCGATATTTCCTTATGACGAGTACCTATTTATTGCTAACTTATATTTCATAATATTTTGATATTATACAAGATGGTCGTATAGATTTGAGCATAATTTATAAGAATGGTATAATAATATGAAGATTGTAGGTATTTTATGGTTGCAATTAAAATAGGTATTTGAGTAAACTGTCCACATATTCAAATAAATCAAATAGGTAGGTACTTTTTTTAGGTACTAGTTTAAGTAATTATAATGTCTGGTAAGAACTACCAAGAGGGAGTGACTAAAAACCCATCATCATTCATTAGTGCATCACTGTTTCTCAATAAATATCACGTACGACGCCCATTCTCACAGAGTCAAAAATATGATCGGTCATCGGTAGTATTACAAATTCCTTAGTGCCGGTCCTGGTATCAACTGGATGTTAGATAACTTCAACTTTAGTATTCAAGTGCATGACTGAGGCCTAGATAACAATCACGTTTATTGCATTAAAACATTTTGGATGACCATTCAAATAACCTAAAATATTTGCTTAATTTTTTTTGGCAGAAAACGACTTTTTTTTTTTAATTTTGACAAGTTAAGGTTAAAGAAGAGAGGTGGTCATCTGTAGGAACCATAGTTTGAATATTATATATGTTATACATAAACCATTTATTGAAATTTGTATTGTAACATAAAACAATGGTTAAAAGTTCTATTATTATTTATTTATAACTCATTAGGTATGTAAAATGTTAACCTAAATCTAAATTTTCTTTTTATAATTAAATTTCAATTATTTTTCATTATTTACAATCTATTATTTATGACTAAAGAAAACTATAATTTATTAATCTATATCCATTATTATATGATTGCAACATTTTTCATTTTGACAGGTTTACTATTACATATTTTATCCAGCTATAAAATATAAACTACAAATCATCTTGGAATGAAATAACATGAAGTGCATCTATCAAATATGTTCTTATTGTACAGTTTCATTGTATCATTTTTACCTTTCAATGCATACCTATTATTGTATGTCAAAATAATATAATCGCATAAAATTATACTTTTAATGTATTTATTTTTATAACAATTATAAAATATCTAGAAGTTAGTTTTATTTTTATATCATAGAAGGTACATAATAAAATATGTGTTAAATAAAGAAGAACTTTTTTATTACAGCATAGATATTGGAATACAAATTTTTAATTAATGATTATTAAGTATTAATCACTATTTTATATTAATAGAATATTATAATTAAGTACAAATAAATAGAAAATTTAGACAAAATATGGAGGCTTCCGAACAATAATTCCATAATCGTTGAGTGCTGGTGCTAAATCTTCCATAGTTAATGTGAATTTACGGTCTTTAGGAACTTTTCCAGATTTAGTTGGCAAGGTAGCCAAACGCACTTTACAATGTTGCAATGCATCGTTGGCTATATCAGCAATAAATTTCTGAGAAGCAATTGATATCAACCGAACTCTGAAATAAATAAATGCACATAGATTTATAACTAAATATGAAAAACTTAAATGTATACCTATTTAAAATCGGAGCACTATTGATTTTATAATATGGTTTTATATTCAGTAGCTTAACTATAGTTGGTTTAACCTATTATATAATTTTAAATAGTATATAATATTTGATAATTTTATTTTTTGATTTTTAGAGTACCTAGTTTACATAAGCAGATGACAAAATTAACATACATTGTTAAATTAACAATGTTGGTTATTTTATTCTATAGTACCGCCAGCAAAAAGTGAGCCGTGACTGTTACGTTCTAAGTGGTGTATTTAAGCGTAATCGCATATAATTGTGGAAGGCCTGATTAAATTCGACCACCAGGAGCATTGGTATCGCGGCTCACTTTTCACTGGCCGTACTATAGTTCAAAAATTTACAATCACATATACTTAAAATATTCATTAAAATATTATTTATAATCTCATGCAATTATGTCAACAATTGTTTTGCATCTGCTGAAATTTAGCAGAATTATATCAATGTTAGATAATATAATAATATTTACTAATAGGCAATAGCTGAGTTTTGAGGCTTTGCTAACGATTAATTGTATTACAAAATTTTAAATTAAGAAAAAAAATTGAATTGAAATACCTATGTGATAAACAAAATTAAAATATTTTTCTAAAAGATATTAAATAAATTTATTTATTAAACAATAGCAATTTCCTTCCTTGACAATTAAAAGTATACGTCTAGGTGACTATCCTGGCTTAATTAAGATAAATATTATTATGATACAATCACATAAAAATATAATAATATACATAGTAGTATTTAACAAGTTGAAGTACAGTCAAGTTTTGATAACTTAAATTGTTTTCTTAACCCTTGAAGTTTGAGGTATGTAACTAAAATATAGATGCTGAATTTATTTTTATTCTCTTCGAGGTTTAAGTTATCAAGACTCTACTGTATTTTATCGATATCAATAAATGAACCATAACATTAATGTAAATAATAAAAATTATAAGGGGGATGTTTCAACATGGGACTATTTTATTAAATATGAGGATTTATAAATAGTTTACAGTTTTCAAATGTTTAAAATAATACATATTGGTAGCGTTCAAATAATATTGAATGCAAGTATAAAAATTAAAAAAGTAACAAAGAATTATAATAATTATTTAATAATTTGAATTTAACTAATACAGATAATATATGCCCACGGAGCCACGGAGCCCCTAGACTACTCTCACGGACTACTCTCTACCCTAAGGCTCCGCTGAGCACAGTTTGAGAACTGTTGATATAGATTATACCTATATAGTTTCTAACTACCAATACTTAATTATGAACAATTGTTTACAATTTTAGTGTTTTCATCTTTCATAGTCCTATAGTATATGATATAACGATACTACACTACCTATTTAATTCTAGTACTACTGTCATTCATTGATTTTCAACAAACACTGATCATTTTTAGCATATTAAACATATACTCTTCCTGTCTTATCTCTCATTAATAATTTTAAGTTATTTTTATGATAAAAAACAATAGCTTATTGCTATTCATTAATTTTTGACCATTTATTGCACAATAATCAATGTCATTCTTTGGACCAATGATCTTAATCCGATGGTCATCATCTGTTTATCAAGGATAAACCCTTAGGTTATGATAGTTGCATACAACACTTACAAGCTATTTTAAGTACTGGTGACCATAAAAATGAATAGACGACCCCCAGGGTAAATGTAATACAAGTTAAGTTTATTGAAAATGACCTATTCAATCTACTGATTTAACAATGAAGAAAACAGGTATAAAAATAGGGCAAGTATTCTAGGTTTAAATGTTTAATACAAATGCCCTATGTACCAATAAACTTACATTCGAGGGTCATTTGTCTCAAATCCAGCTTCTGAGCATATAGATGATGTGATAGAATCGGGTATCTGTAAATATAAATCAAATTAATACTTAAACCTAACAGTCATAAAAATAATGAAAACAATATTTTCACATTAATTATTTAGGTAGTGTTAAATTCTTACAGTGGGACTATAGTCTTGGAGTTGTACAATTACATCAGATATCGATAACGGTTCTTCGGCCACTGGCATCTTGCATATCATACTACGTCAAACAACTTTAATGACAAACATACAAATCAGTACGCAATTATAAACATCGAACTCAAAGATTGCCCAATTAATTTAAATTACATTATAAGACATTTTGATTACATTAAGCCCCGGATTCGGGAATGCCAATAAAGAATACCCGAACACCCTAATACGTAAACAGTTAACAATAAACTGAAAATGTTCTGTGTTAAGCAAAACACCTATTGGAAATTGAGGGCACGAATCATGAACGAATCATCAAGATTAATTCGTGATTGAGGGTGATCAGGATTGCTACAACTTCCTCGAGAATCAACTGTTTCGAATTAATAATACTCCGAATTTATTACTTCGAACCACGAATTAAGATATACTGGATACGGAACGCAGCGCCTTATCAATTCATATTTCGACGTACTAACTTTACTTCTTACGTTACGGCAAGATTGCTAGCGCGATCTCGTGCACATTATTATGAACAAACCGTGATCATTTATCACATTTCTCGCGCCTTTTTCAAAAATTTGATATATTGAATCTTACTCTATGTATTGAATAATAATAATACATTATATCAATACACATATTATTAATATATTATTCTAAATGTTAAGTTACAATTTACACATCAACTGAATTTTTGATTTTTTAAATCACCATGTCCCGGATAGACAAATGTTGTGTAAGAAACTGTTCTGGTATTAGTAAATCACGGTTTTCAATACGAAAGCTATATTCTTTGGATTTATTATATTATTATCTATCTGTATTCTATCGGTCAACTCAATCGATTTATAGGTCACATTGAACTTGACATTTAGCAAATATCTATTATTTAATTTTTGGATTGTATATATTTTTAGTATTGTTTTAAATTACATTATATGACTGTTTTGTTTACGTGCTACTCCCTTCCACAAGCTTGCTTTTGGAACAGCATCATCAAAATACCTATTATTGTATATTGTATTATTGTGTAATGTGTACCTACTTAGTAATTGATGATGATTCAAATAAATTAATAAATAAATAAATCGTTGACAATAACTGGTAATTAATTTTTCTATACCAATGTTCAAACGATTAGTTTAAGTGTACGTCACTTAACATTCACAACTTTATTTGTCACCTAATATCTATATCATTGTCACATTATACTATTGCATACCAAACATTTTTGTCAACTGTCTACCCTGAACACTCCATGTGAACACTTAGTAATAATTTATAACATACTTACATACTCGTTTACCGATATAGTGTCTAACAAAAACACAGATGTTCTTATATTCATTAAAATACAACAGTTATCATTATTTTGTATTTTTTATAAATTGCTAACAAGTTTGGTTAAAATGTTTAAATGGTGCTTCCATGGTGGTGGAAAATTCACAGTGTTACAAAATTTTGATGTTATGTTAAGTTACAAAACAAAAAATAATTGATCAAAATATTATTATTTTTTATATTTTTGTAATAATTTGGTAATGTACAAATTCTAACAAAGCAATAATATTGGTTAAACTCTTGCGTCTTAACATGTAACTTATCACAAAGAAAATATGTTTATTTTAAAAATAATAACGAAACTCATATATCAAGATGTCTGAATTGGCGTCTCAATTTCTCATGCTTGTTTCTTTTTTCTTTATGGTTCTTCCACGGTTTGGATGTACTTTGTTGAGCTTGACTATAGAATGAGAAACATTGTTAAATAAATAAAATATAATAAGTTGCTTATAAGTTATAACATACTTATTAATACTGCCCATTATATCCATCTTTTTCATTCCTTTACTGTGTGCACCCATGGTTGTTTTTTGAAAAAACGTATTGTCTAAATCTGATCCAGATGCAACATTTGGCTGAAAAACACAGCATTTGAGTGTGTTTAATAACATATTTCCGTAATCAAATTTTTGTATAAAAAATGAACCTTAAGAAGAATGTTTTCGAATGGGGTGAATGTCTTTGTTGCGCGATTTTCTTCAGGTGGTGGATAAGAATGAAACTTTTTTTGATCAACTCCTGGTGGAGCAATACAAAACAGTAGCCGTCCATTTACATAATGCTTAAGTATTACACGAGCTGCTCTTGAACCATCTGGTTGTCCATTTGCCGTCATGTATCCTCGACTGCCTATATTGGTTAATATTAAAGCACACATGTTACATTATATATCTTGCCAAAAATTAGTTGCCGATTAAATTACATGCGTAAGCATTGAGAAATTCATCAGCAGTGGGCGGTCGGTTTGGATCTTCGCCTTCCAATGGTTTTGTTACCATAATACTAAACTGGTCTTCTAATATGTGTTTGGGTATTTGCGAACAAATTATATTCACTGGTGGCCTGTGATCACGCATCTGGTCGATGGGAAGAATACCGTGTATAATAAGGTCAGCTTTTGTAAATACAAAACTAGGCATAACTAAACCAGGACAATCGCATAACATCAGTTCCTTGTCAACAAAAAGCGTCTGAAAAAATATTGATGAACACTATTACGATCTTCCTTATACATATAAATACAAATAAATAATAAAACAAAAATATTTAAATTATTTATTAACATTTACCTTACATTTAACTAGACTAAGACAAACTATGACTCATAGGGATTGGTTAAGGAATATTTTAAGCTAACTTAATGAACTGTGGTTTAAATATGATACCTGAAAATGTTTTGTTTTTCCTGGAGTAGAAGATACTGACACTTTCTTATTAAGAAGAAGGGTATTGATAGTTGAACTTTTACCAACATTTGGATAACCTACTAGTCCAATAGTAACCAACTCATCATTCAAACGTTTATTATTTCCATGAATTGTTTTAAAGAGACTGATTAATTCTTCTTTTGTTAATAACTTTGAAGAATTTTTAAACTTGGGACATTCATCTAAACATAAAAAAAGTTTAACAAAAATGGTAAGATACTTTTTTGAAAAAATTAAACATTTTACCATCCACGTCTCCAATTACTTCTTCTTCTTCGTCGGTTTCATAATCTGAACTGTCCCACTCTTCTTCATCATCTGCTTCTTCTTCTTCTTCTTCTTCTTCTTCTTCTTCTTTGACTGCTTCTTTAACCTAATTTAAATAAATAATGTATACAAAATAGAACAATTTAAATATAATTTTGTCTACTAACAGTTTCATCAGCATCTTCATTTCCTTCTTGAATAGTTTCTTCACTTTGCTTAGCAGAATAAAAAGCTACTGTAATAGCTCTGGAGTCAAAATATTTAGCCCAGTATTTACGCTGTTGAGTATTCAACAAGTCAGACTTATTCAACAACAACAAATTAGTTTTATTTTTATCCACTTCTTTTGAATATTTCTCCAAGTCTTCACAATAGAATAATAATGGGTTGCGAGCATCCACAATCTGAACTAGAACATCACTTCTCTCAACAACTCTCCACAGCTGTCTCCAAAAGCCCAAGTTTTTTTCATAAGGAGTCAACACCAGGCCCTGTTCTTCTTGAAGTTCAGCCAAATTACGACGCCATTCTAAGAAGTTTTGTCTTTCTTTTGATTCTAAATCTTCGGCTGTAGTTTTGTTATCCCAAGCAGGTCTATAAATTAAAAAAAATAAAATGTGTTGGGTATGTTTGCTAAAAATATACATACCTTCGGGGAATTTTAATGAAATGTTTAAATTCCTGGTGGGACTTTTCAATCTTTGACCGTTCTTCATCAGTCAATGTACCAACCATTCGACTTTCGGGCACAAATTCAACATTTAACTTTTCAGCCTAAACACATTGTAAGTGATGAATTACAGTAATACAACACGTGAAGACATAAACAGTGCATAAAATAATATATTTGTTGTTTCTTACTGTAAATTCAGTTCCTGCCAATTCTGCTGTGGACAAAAACTCTTCAAAAGAACTCTGTTCTGTAACAGACTGCAAATTGAGTCTTCCCCAGTCATATCCGTCAGCTAAATCGGAGGTGTGAAGCTATTATAAAATATGTTAAAAATTATTCATATGAATGTCAACCAAACACAATACTATGTTAAAATTATTATACAGGTAATTTAAAACAAAAAATTTGACTGCAAACAATAGCGAATGTTATACTTACAAATGAGTCAGCATTCAGTGTCTTATTACCGCGACCAAACCTGTCTTTTATCAAAGCACGACCAAAATTATGACCGCCTCCACCTTTCTTCTTACCACCCATAGTGCACTGGTCAAATAGACAAAACTCTATATTCTATTAGTGTTATAGAAAATATATATAGGAATGAAAAAATACAAATTTATGTATCTAAAGCCTACACCGATTCCTAATGTCTAAATATCGTAATCCTTTATCTTGAAAAAATCATGTGATAAGTATGTAATATCTTGTATTATAAAACTTTGGTTTATTAGAAATATTAGAATAGAACGGAATAGATGTTTAATAGCACGGCCATGAACATTGGCTTAAATAATAATATAATCATAAAATAAAGATTAGAATGTAATATTCTGGTTGATACTTGATAAAATATGATAATACCTTTGAAAAATATTAAAACTTTTGAAAAAACTTCACGTGTTCCTATCAGAAAATTAATCACTACAACCACAGAACAATTACTACTTTACCTACGTACCATTTGGAAAAGTAAGAAAAAAATATTATTTTTTGTTACCGCGGTTGTATATTTTCAAGGATATCTTAAATCGTGTTACCAAGTGTCAGGTTCAGAATCGTTATCAGTGATTTTACGCGGGACAAAAACATAGAAGAATCTTTTGTCATCCATGGACGTAAATGTTATAGTTTCATGAAGATCATTTTGAATTAGAAATTAGAATTCTATTCTTCATGATTAATTTTTATACTACCAGCAGTCACGAGTAGCACTTGTAGTCTTTTATCTATGGCTACCGGTGTTTGAGTCAAAAGTTTAGGACTGTAGTTAACTAATAGACAACTATCTTCTATTTCTGTGTATCCCTTGTTATTGAGACGAATATTAATAACTGCAATATTTAGGTAAGTTAAACCACATTATTTTGTTCGTTGAAATGTCATACATCTTACGCGAATCAATTACAGAAAGAAAAAATATTCTACTTATAAATTTATAATGTTTTTAAAATAAAAACTTTCGTTTATCATTTTTTCTTACATTTATAGAATATTGTAAAAAAAAATATTTGCTTTGTTATGAAGTATATTATTTTTTACAGTATACAATTTTCAATAGTATAGGTTTAAAAAAATAGTTTCTTTTTCCACTGAATCTTTATCATCTAATGTTTATGTTTGTTGTTAAATTCAACAAGTGTACAATGTATTTTAATTGTTTTCACTTGTGTTGATTCCATAGAACAGCAATTTGGCTTGAATTTATCCAACCACAGTGGATGATAGATAACTTCACATAATTGTTCAATAATGGCATACAATAATCAGCATAGACAATTGTTGCAGTATTTCATGCATGAAAGAATGGTTTCTGATGTTAATGCTCAAAAGGTGATTAAAATTCTGTTTTCCGATAAAAAGATTGATGACATCATTGAACTAATAAACATCAAAATTTCTCCACTCGAATTCAAAATCAACAAGGTGGTTTGTGAACAAAATGGCAATGTAACCTATGTATTCATCTCTACGTTTGTTGACAATTTCAATGCTAAACCGGATCCAAGCAAAATAATCTTTGGCGGAATTGTTAATCATATTTTTGCTTCAGGAGGATCAATAACATACGACCAACTAATGACATTTTCAAAGAATATGTCTGATAATCAGTTGGATAACTTTTTTGAATCAAAATATTTGGTCGCTGACGAAAACAAAAATATATTTTTATCACCACTGGCCATTAGCGAATTGGAAGGGTATCTGATTGAAAAATTTCAGGACAAGAAATGTATGTGTTGTATGAGTATTGTTGGACATGGTATCAAATGTCAGTCATGTGAACAGTTTGCACATGGACATTGCTTGACTGCGTATTTTAATAATGTGGGCAGCAAGAAGTGTCCCAAATGTTCTAAGATATTAGATGTTAGTTGGAATCCAATAACTACAGTCAATAACTTATTATAAATGTATTTTATATTTTATTTATAATTATTCCCTGACTAGTTTACTGTAAAATGTAATATTTATTTTATGTGATATGTGATTTTCTTAACATTTTGAATACAAACATGTCATACATTAATGTTTGGATCTTAAAAATGTAGGATATTTGCTACATTTTATTTCATATAATATTAAGCTTAAAATTACAGAGCTGTTGCATAAAACTGGATGTTATAGTTAACTATAAGTTTAAAATTAAATTCAACAGGCTTATATCTATAAATGTTTTAAAAATAGGTAATATTAATTTACAAATGATTTAAGTATTAAATATTTAATTATTTAAAACTAATACAAACATATCATAATATGTATAATGAATGACTGTCATTTATTTATTAGTACAAATACTTTACTGACTTAGATATTATTCCTTATATATTCATAAATGATAAAAACATATTTCCTGAATTCATATTTACAATATAATAAATATTTATATAATTTAATAGTTTATTAATGTTTCATATATATATAAATACATTATATTTATATAATTAATATTTTTTAATATTTATTAATTTATAATTTTTTTAATATTTATTTTCATATTAACAATTTTCCTATTATACCAATACAAAATGTAATTTCTGTATATAAAGGCTTTAAGTATAACAGCATATTGTTCTTAAATTTTATTTGTAAGACATGTAACATTGTGTATGATTCAAAATGTAAAATATACTATTAAAATGTTGAGTAGAAAATTAAAATAATTTTTTCAACAGTTATTGACTTATTTTGAATTAACTATTCATACTATTGTTTAACTGTAGTTCATTGTTTATATTATGTATGAATATCTATATCAACCAATAGGTATTGGTATTTTGTAAGAATATGTTTAGACAAATTGATAATAGAATACAAAAACTAAAAAAATGTAAAAAAAAATAATATCCTTAATACCTATTAATTATTTGCTGCTACAACATACTATTCTGTGTAATGCAAATAAACCTATAAATAAATATATCAAAATGGACTATTTGGCTCACAAATTATTGATATATGTCCACACATGAATATTGGCTAATTGGTGTAGAAAAATGAAATTGTTAATGGTTATGACTTGTGACAGATCTCTCTCAGCATAGCATGCTTTTAGAAAGTATGTTTTACTTTTGCTAGGAGGAGAAATGAAATGAGACAATATTATAAAGCAAATTGGGTGTTTCAGTATTTGCAGCATTTAGGGTTGTGAAATGTGAGTTAATAAAAGTGGAGGGATGCCATCCCACCGTATCCTCCACTTTGACGACTGTTGATAATAATATGTTTAAACATGTGAGATAAATTTTAAGTACAGTTTATTTATTTGTAAATCAATAGAAACAGATTACCTTATTATAAACTAAATAATTTTAACATATTAATTAATTATCTATTAACTTAAAAATTAGATTTTATTATTATTTAACAATAATAAAATATATACCTTCTAATATTGTATATACATTTAGTGATGCCGATTTGGCTATGTTCTTTTCATTTTGTATCGCGACAATTTTAAGATGTTGACTGATCACTTTTTGGCAACCTTAAACAAATAAATATCCATAGTTATAGTAATTTGAGTATTTCTATAATACAAACGAAATGCTTGAATCTTACTTATTACGCGGCGAGGTCGTTGGTGGTGGTATTAAGGCATCTTCTTCATAAATCATTGCCATTCTGCAGAAATCAATTCTTCTTCTTTTATTTTTCTAGAAGAAAACAAATTCGAATCATAAATATTTAAGTAAAAAATAAAATAATTTTTATTAATCTATGAATAAGTGTGTTTTTTCAACTTTTTTTTTGGGGGGGGGGGTAGTTTTTAATGTTGCTAATTCTAGCATTTTCTAGGTATTTGGTATTAGAAAATCGTTATTTATTTATTGTTGTACTTAACGTCTTTAGATTAGATTTCTTACCTTCCACAGCAAACTTATGGATTTTAGCACTTAACAATAGAAGAATTTTTATTTGCAAAAATTATTCGGTATTTAATTAGGTAGGTACATTTACTTTTGAGACCTAAATAAATTTCATTACAATACTTTTTAAGACCCCGAAAGACAACATTTTCATTTATTTTTATTTAGGTTGAAAAATACATACTCCAATAGAAATGTAACATTCGTCTCCATCACTGCTTGATGAAGTTCCGTCTTCGAAGTACGATGTTTTAGATGAACCATTTACGTCTATTTCCACGCATAGTTGTTTCAACTGTTCGTTCACTAACATAGGCTACAATAAAAATAATTAAAATATCCATGAATATTGAAAATTCTACATGTGATGGGTAAAACTGTAAACATTTATTCAAAAATACAGTATAGTACTTTATTTACTTGAGTAAATGTATTCAATGTGTTCATATCTTTACGCAACACTTCGTTTACGTCCCCATAGTCCATTTGGTACCGATAGACTAAATCTGGAGTTGTTACAATATCTTCCATCCAGAATGGTTGCTAAAATTTGAATTTGATTATTAAGTTTATTTTTTAATAAAATATGTTTGATGTAAGGCACTCGTGGGTTATTATACCTTTTTAATTAATTGATGAGAACAATTTGTTTTTTCATATACATTCAGCAAAGGAAAGTCCTGAAATTATTTTAATTTGTTAATACATTTTAATAATTTAAACTAGGTATACAATTCATTTGTAAATTTTAATATCTTAATTATTTAAACAAGGTAGAAGTTATTACTTTTTACCAAGTACAACCTCTAATATATGAATGAAGAAAGTACCCCCTAAACCTTGTCACCTATTTTAATACAACCTAAGTACAGTCAAAACTCTTTATAACGAATCTGAAGGGACCAAGAGATTTCTTTCGTTATAGAGAGTTTTCGTAATAGAGAGGCTTTAAAAAAAACAAAATTTTAATTATTTATGTATAAAGGTATGTGTACCTATGTAATATTATATATCAAACACATCATTATTTTTACATTATTTTATATATATTTACGTATTATATTAAATTATTATTATTATTATACATACTTATTAAATATAATTTAATTTTTATTCTATACAATATATTTATACTTTATTTAAAATAGTCTGTCATCTTAGTTTGGACTTTTTTATTCGGCATTATTGCCGATTATTTTTATAGTTTATATATGTAATGGATACGATAACACGTAAATTGTATTATGAAACATAAAATATTGTTTCGTTATTGAAAGTGACTAATACGTTATAGAGAATGAATTGTCTAATGGGTTATATAGCAAACCAACCATTATTATGTAATGTTTTCGTTGTAAAGAGTTTCGTTATAAAGAGTTTTGACTGTACCTACTCTAGTACGGTATTACATCTACAGGGTATCAACTAATTGTGAGGTATGTAATATCTATCAGATATATGTTACCTATATTATAATTCGGTGATATTTTGACGTTTTGTGTAGATGTCTATCTATATATACAGCCAATATTTAGACTACAGCTTAAAAAAAAATATTCATTAGTTTTAATATTGAAACTTCTAAGCTTAAAAGTTCAACCTTGAAAATTATTATGAAAGACTGTTGTATTTGATATCCTCAGTTTCCCTATTACAAGAAATAGTAAGAAATAGTAAATGACGTTACCTACAGCACAATTCAGTTTGTTTATTTTGTTAATTTATTGTTGTTTGGAAACAATAAACCTAACTATCAATGATACGGTACTTTGTTTAAGTACCTACCTATAATGTAGATGGAAATAATATTATCAATCAATGACCATTGTATTTTTTTATTGATGATCAATTTCAAGTTTTAAAAGGCTATGCAAACAATATTGGTAGTAACTAATAACATGTGCTCTGCTCAGAAACCTTTCATTCAAATGCTATGTTATGTAATTTTAACCTAATTTAACCTATGAAATATTATTCTAAAGAGAACTAAGCCAATCATTCTACCTCTAACTCTGTCTTGATTTTCAGTAAGTTTTGTCTATTTTAACATGATTCTGTTATACGGCGTGTACGTTAGGCAATTTAGCTACATTCCCGTGTAGTTTTAAATAGCTTAATTTATTATTATAATACTGATTCTATGTATGACGTCATTCATCATAAATAATTTGTTGTTTTCAGTAATATCTTTATTTTTATAATTTAGTTTGTAATTCATTAAAAAAAAAATTAAATGGTCCTTTTTTTAAGTTGTCGAGGAGGAAATTAATTGATATTGGATACGGCATTCCTATCTTCAGTAAACATAACGGAAAGAGAAACAATGATTCTCACTTACAAAGAACATTCTGTGTAACAAAAAAACTTACATCTAAACAAAAGTGAATAGAGATGCAATGTTTTTGTGGTATATCGGTATCAGTTGGTGTTGGCTTAGCTAAAAGATTTGTATGGAATGACGCATCTATTATTTTAATATCAATGGGTGAGTTACTCATCAGATGAGCTAGTAAACTATAGACCGTTCAATAAAATGTACTGCCACCAATATTTTCATTCTTCTTAAATTACATACATCAGTTTAACCTATGAACTCAAAATCGTTTTTGGAATGCCATAAGTATTTTTATTGTTCTACAGCCGTCATATATGATAACTTATAAGCCACACAATTATAATTTATTGTGTAGCACCCCAATATATTATTAAAGTAAACAATTTTTTTTTCATACTTCTCTTTCACTACTATCGGTTTTTTCTCTCAAACTTGATGAGTAATAACTACTGTCTTCGTACATCCATCCACTGCTAAAAATTAAAAGTTAAAACTTAAGATGGTAAAGTATAATTTTATTGTTCTTATCGAAAATATTAGGTACTTAAAAATATAACTAACCTTGATTTCAAACTTCCGGTTTCTCTTTTAAAATCAGAATCCGAACTAGTCATAACTTCTTCTTGGTTTACTTGTGATGCTTTTGTTTTCTTTCGAATATTCTACACAGGTAATAAAAAAAAAAAATTATAACATATTTCAGCATTTTGTTAATAAAATTGTCAACTCTTTTTTGTTTTCTTTTTAATTTACAAATGCACATACACAATCTATACTGTTGCACAATAAGCGTATAAGAGTTCAAAAAAATACATGGATTGCTTGGATAATTAAACCCATTAGTGGCACTTATTTACTTGACGTTATATTTAGGGTAATTAATGAGGGATATTTAATTTAAATGGTCACGACACCATTTCCTTTTGAGTCTACGTCGTGGATTTCCGGGGAGTGAGAAGGTATGTAGATTGTCAACTTTTAATATATTTTTTATGGTATTTA